AAAAGAACATCGGGAAGTCAAAAGACCAAATACCGAGTCAAAAGAATCACGGGGAACAAATTCCCACACCACCATATACTGTACCCCGCGGGTGGACTCACGGGTAAGCCCTTACCCGCGGTTCCGCCCGCGGGTACATACCCACGAGGCACATGTACCCCGCGGGTAGGGCGGCAGGTGGACCCCTACCCGCCGTTCCGCCCGCGGGTACACACCCTGTAACAAAATAATCCCTTCGGGGATTTTCAACTCCAAGCTCAAATTCAAGTCCAAAACATGCCAAATCTCACCAAATACAACAAAATGACTTGAATCAAAGGAATAGCCAAGCATTGGCATACAAGAACCCTAATAACAAGCTCTAGATATGCATTTTCACCAGACAATGCATAAACACTCACATTTCATAGCAAAAAACCATGTAGAGTCCAAGAAATTATTCATCACATAGGTAAGCAAAATAGATTTTGTAGAGCATGGGTTACCTCTTGAAGACAAAAACCTTCACTTAACACTTCACCAAGCTTCTAACAAAGCTCACCTTCCAAACCCACTTCAAGAACACAAACCAAAAGATCATAAAGATTCTATCTTTAAGGAAAGACACCTTAGAAAACACTAAAAACACAAGATGAACATAGATCTTACCCTCCTAGATGCTCAAATGTATGAAAGATAGAATCTTGGAGACAACTCTTGAAGATTTGACAAAGCTTCAACTTGGCTTGGAAGAAAAGCTATCTACCTTTTTAGAGAGAAGGTAGAGCTAGAATTTGGAAAATGTAAGGAGAGAAATGAGGGTATTCTACTAGGTTAGCTTACAATACTAACACAAGGTGAAAAGTCATGAATACCCTTACTAACATGAAGAGGTGTAAGGGAACAAGGGAACTCCTTACAAAGCTTAAGGTACAACATTGACTTTGGGGTTGACTAGTCAATTACTAGTCCCCGACTATTGAATTTTCAGGATTTTTAGGAATTAAATTACCAATTGAAATAGGATTAATTACTTAATTAATCCCTTAATCGAATTCGGATTTCGGGGTGTCACATAGACACTCCCAACTCAAAGTGTATGTCATACTTGGAGCTCACCCTGATTCAGCCAATCCAACTCAAGCCAGATTGACATTTCAAGGCTAGGATCAACTAGAAGGGCCCCCCTTTGATAGGTAAGCCCCCAGCCAAAACCGAGTACAGTAAATAGAGCTAAGAGCATCATAAGAAAATAAACCAAGAGAGCCTTATTTCCACACTAAACCATAGTGCAGATCAGCTCAAATAGCAAGGCTGCACTGTCTTCCTCCACTTCTGCAACTTTGTAAAATTCTTCTTGAATTCCTGCTCCCATCTGCAAAAAGAAAAGAGAGGAAATGGCTTCATTTCTGCAGATAAAACTGCAAATGAAAGAGAGAGATTTAATAATATTGTTTATACTGTTTAAAATGTAATTATATTTTGTCCAGTGGTCAAACATTTTATTAAGTTAAAATTTTAGTTTATTGTTCGGTTTCTATTTCCTACTCCATTTTTACTATATACTATGTGTCATGGTTTGATTGTCTAATAAAAAGGGTAGATCATAATTTTTGTTAATTCTTTTTTCTTCATTCAATTAAATTAAACATTTGATTGGAATAAAAATTGGGTGTATAATTTGGTATTAGATTTAGCATTTTCCCTTCTTGTGCTAATTAAAATTAAAATTATATAAAGAAAAGGGAGACTCATTGGAGATGGACATGTCCAGTGGTTTTCATGAATTGACGACCAAGTCAAGTGATAAAGTGTGGAATAAAAGTATTTATGTTCTTATTTTCTTACCCATTGATTACTCAAACTTGACATATTCAAAAGACTAGAGTTCTACCTAATCTATCTATATCTATAAATATATTAAAACAAAAGTGTCATTTTCCAGCTCATTTTAGACAAAAAAAAAAAAAATTAATTTAAAATTTGAAATCAGTCAATATAAGATTACAATACTTAACAGAATTAAATCATATTTAAATAGGAATAAGGGTCAAATAGGCAACTCAACTGCACACCAAAGTGCAATTAGGCCATTGAACTCAAAAAGAATGCAATTAAGCCATTGAACAACACAAAAACATGCAATTTAGCCCAAAATGACTTGTTTACCTAGAGTAGCAAGTTACCAATTTCAAAATTAATTTTTTAAAATAACTTTTAATAAATAAATAATTAAAATATTAATAAATAAATAAATTTAAAAATAAAAAAAAAAAAAAAAAAAAAAAAAAAAAAAAAACAGAAACTGCCGGCCGGAGACGAATCGTCTCCGGCCGGCTTTGTCTCCATGGCCGGAGACGAACCTCCGTCTCCAGCCATGGAGACAAAGACCTTCGTCTCCATGGCTATGGAGACGAATCGTCTCCATGGCCAGGGAGACGAAGGGACCGTCCCTTCGTCTCCCTGGCCATGGAGACGAAGGTCTTTGTCTCCATGGCTGGAGACGGAGGTCCGTCTCCGGCCACGGAAACGTAGCCGGCCGGAGACGATTCGTCTCCGGCCGGAAGTTTCTGTTTTTTTTTTTTTTTTTTTAATAATAATTTAATTATTTATTTATTAAAAATTATTTTAAAAAATTAATTTTGAAATTGGTAACTTACTACTCTAGGTAAACAAGTCATTTTGGGCTAAATTGCATATTTTTGTATTGTTCAATGGCTTAATTGCATTCTTTTTGAGTTCAATGGCCTAATTGCACTTTGGTGTGCAATTGAGTGGCATATTTGACCCTTATTCCTATTTAAATAAATACCTTAAATTCGATATATGTATATATATATATAATATATAAAGCTTACCAAATAACCTCATATATATATATATATATATATATATATATATATATATATATATATATATATATATATATATATATATAACATAAGTAACCTTATACATAATATATCTGCTAATTCCCCTCTTTTTTTTCTTGACATAACTAATAATAAAATATAATTTCAGTTGCTATTAATGACTAAACCAGCATGTGTTAAGAAAGTATTGTCGGGATCACAAATTAGTTATTGATTAGCAAAATTATTCGTTTAAAATCATGGGCTTATACACTAAATATATCTGTTAATAAAACAAAAGATTAATATATATATATATATATATATATATATATATATATATATATATATATATATAATATGCGCAAAAACATATTCTCAATATTTATATTTTTAAAAATAACTAACAAATTCCTACTAATTAAAATCTATATAAAATCAAATTTATTTATTATAATAATACAATATATAATGTCTACAAATATTATTATTATAAAAGAATATAAGAAAATATATGGTGGATGCATGTGCATGGTAACAATAATGGGAAAAATGATGGAAGTTATAACGGTAGGGGTATTTTTGTCCAAAAAATTATATAGTACAATTCTAAAAGCACAATGTACAAAATGATTAACATTAAAAATATGGACATAAATGAAGGATATAACTTTGATTGGGATTTTTATGTTTTTAGATATGTGTGTGTGTGTGTGTGTGTGTGTGTGTGTTCAGGTTCAGGTGCATTTAAGTGTTTCCCGTGTGGTTGTGCGGGTGATTAATGTGCGCGAATTTTGTACTTAATGTGAGTGAGTCTTGTGCTTAATGTGCGTGAGTGTGTAATGCTTAATGTGCGTGAGTTTTGTACTTAATGTGCGTGAGTCCTGTGCGTAATGTGCGTGAGTTTTGTGCTTAATGTGCGTGAGTGTGTACTTAATGTGAGTTGTTGTTGAAACTTTAAAGTGCATGAGTTTTATGCTTAATGTGCGTGAGTTTTATGCTTAATGTGCGTGAGTCTTGTGCTTAAGTTGTGTGAGTTTTGTACTTAATGTGCGTGAGTGTGTACTTAATGTGAGTTGTTTTTAAAACTTAAGGTGCGTGTGTTCTTGTGCTTAACATGCGTGAAGCTTGTGCTTAACATGCGTGAGTCTTGTACTTAACATGCGTGAGGCTTGTGCTTAACATGCGTGAGGTTTTTTTCTGAAGGTGTTGTGTTTATGTGCTTAATGTGCGTGTGTTGTACTGTTCTGTAGTTTAAGTGCGTCAAATTAATGCTTAACGTACGTCCACCAGCACAACCACGCGGGAAACCTCAAATGCACCTGATCCTTTCTATATATATATATATATATATATATATATATATATATATATATATATATATATATATATATATATATATATATATATATATGGATTATATGAACCCGGGGTACGGATTATACAACCCGTATATATGATTGAATATGACGAACGAAAAATGAAATGATAAATATTATATTAATTGAGTGTATAGTGCTATTACAGAGATTCGAAACGTGTAATAACAGTACAAGTATTGTAAGAAGGTAGAAGATCAAGTGTCCCTTGTTAGGACAAGGTGAGGGGTTTTTATATGCAACAAACCTTCAACCACTCCCCCTAAACCGGGGGGTGGTTGGATCTGGCACTTTGACTGAGTCCTAGCTCGGGACCGAGTCCAAAGTGCGGCCCGGGGTACGCAGGAGGAGTCGCAACTGCCGCCGCACGACTCGAACAACGCGGGGACCCCGTCTTGGCCGAGCCCGGAGCTTGGCCGGGCTGACCCCGGGATGCCGAGCCCATGTTGGCCGACCCCAGGGTGCCAAACCCATGTTGGCCGACCTAGGGGTGGTTCGTCACTCCGTGTGCACAGTAGCCAGGGACCCGGGATAGTAGCCGAGGACCCCGTGGTAGTAGTCGAGGACCCCGGGGAGGTAGACCCCTCCATGGTCTGTCCGTCCGCGTGCGTAGTCCACTCGGTGTCGGGTGTGATCCGCTCCATATTTCTTCGCTCCTGGTCCATTCCGTAATTATTCCATCGTCAGTCTCCCACTCTCGGGGCTGCGAGAAGTCGTCAGCCCAAGAGAGTACCAAAGTCGCTTGATAATTACGGACCCCCCTCGTGTTTTAACGCTTTATCCTTCGTCTATGCTTGTTGTTGTGCAAGATGTTGCCCGAGCGGCGTCCATGGAGAGCGTGGTGGGGACCCTTCAGGCGCAGCTGGGGGCCGAGATGAGGGCTCGCAAAGAGTTGGAGGCGGCGCACAAGGCCATGGGGAGCAAGCCTGCGGTGTTGGAGGGCAAGAATGCCAAGTTGATTGCCAGCCATGAGCGGGAGCGCCAGGCGCATGAGGAGGCTTTGAAGGCAGCCGTGTCGAGCTACAAGGACTCCGAGGTGGGCTTTGGAGGCAGCCATGTCAAGCTTCAATTCAAGGACTCCGAGGTATTCATCAAGAGGGCGGCCGAGACCTCTTCGAGAGGGCAGCCGAGACCTCAACGAGAGGTCGGCCGAGACCTCTTCGAGAGGTCGGCCAAGACCTCCTTGAGATGTCAGCCGAGACCTCTTCGAGAGGTCGGCGTCCACCTCCTCAAGAGGTCGGCCGAGACCTCCCCGAGAGGTCGGTCGAGACCTCCTCGAGAGGTTGGTCGAGACCTCCTCGAGAGGTCGGCCGAGACCTCCTCGAGAGGTCGGCCGACACCTCCTCGAGAGGTTGGTTGAAACCTCCTCGAGAGGTCGGCCGAGACCGCCCCGAGAGGTCTGCGTCCACTTAAAGTGCGTGAGTTTTGTGCTTAATGTGCGTGAGGTTGTGCTTAATATGTGTGGGTGTTGTACTTAATGTGCGTGAGTTTGTACTTAATGTCAGTAGTTATTGAAACTTAAGGTCTGTGAGGTAATACTTAAAGTGCGTTGGTTTTGTGCTTAATGTGCGTGAGGTTGTGCTTAATGTGCGTGGGTTTTGTACTTAATGTGCGCGAGTTTGTGCTTAAGATCTAACACTAAAGGTGCGTGTTTCTATCACTTAAGGTGCAGCATTCTTAACTTATGCTTCTTTCCTCCAGACACGCGTTTTTTTTAATTGATTTGAGCCGTTGATCTCGATTTGATCACTGGCTCAGATCTAACCGCAAAATCGCACAAGAAGCTATACCCGCACCTGAATTTATCATCCCACATATGTAACTAGATAGTGAGTGTGTCAATGTGGATAAATTGACCCATCTTTAACATTCACTATTCCACACGGTTATAAAGAATAATATATTCAATGTTTGTGCTTTAGATTCACGGATAGGGCATGTGAAAAAGAAACAATTAGAAATGTCCAAATATTTGTCCTCTCAATTATTGACCATTGTCTTGGATTAAATTATCATTCTTTACTTAAAATTAAAAGAAATATAGAGTGAATTCCAATTTTAATTTGAAATTATAGTGAAAATTTTATATTCAGTTTAGACTCTAAAAATAACCAACATAACCGGGAAGGATCGATGATTGGGCATGTTTTCTTTTCAATCATGACAAAAAAATTAGGTATGTTTAATTATAGGTTTGATCTTCGATGATGGTGGTTTAGAATTTTTGGATATGTAATTTTTGCTGTAAATTAATGAAATTTAAGAGAAATTGAGGGAATTTGATAAGAAATTTGAGAAAGGTTCTTTACATTTTATAGTTGTCCCTATATTCTTCATCATCTTATCTACCACTAATGCACTTAAAAAACAAAAGAGCCCTTAGGATTGAGAATTCAACCTTTTGAAAGAAAAAAAAAAAGAAAAAAAAAAAGGCACGGATCCCAAATACAAATATGAAACTAAAAGCAGATTTAATTTCCACTATATCAAAAATATAATCAATATCTAATTTGCAACTTAATTTCCTTATACTTGCTCAACGCTACGTTCCGATGACATGATAATGCTGGACTCACTTTTCAAGGAGTCGACCAATAATTAGAAATCGAATTTGAAGATCGTATTATTATTATTATTATTATTATTATTATTATTATTATTATTATTATTATTATTATTATTATTATTATTATTTGGAGATAGTAGTCTAACTCAAATTAGAATTTTATTATAAAAGTCTTCTTACAATATGATATTAAAGAGATTGAGATTCCGTATTGTGTATATTTAATATTTTCTTATTTTCTTACTACCAACTTTGGCTAAATTACGGTCCATTTTTATATGAAATTTATTAAAAATAAGCGTTAATTTACTTCTCCATTATGGTAAAATTTTCACATTAAAATTTACCACTTTTACCATTTTTAAAAAAGATTCAATCCAAGTCAGTGGCTAAAAAAATAATATGGTTCAATGTTGTCTATATATTATTTAACGTTTTATCTCTTAAATATAATATATTGGTTGAGGATTTTTATTTGTCAAACTTTTAATTTACCAGTCTTCTTGTGATAAGAAAAATTATAGAAAGAAAAGAATTGAAAGGGATATCCTTGTCCAGTACTTGGTTTTTCCATTCACGACAATGTCCAATTAAGTATTTTCTAACCCATTAATTACTCAATTTACATGCACACAGCGCGTATAGTAGGAGGAAAAATCACAACCATCTATCAAAGCTCGCGCACATATTAACATACTTACATGCACACAGCGCGTAGGAGGAAAAAATCACAACTATACATAAAAGCTCGTGAACAAATTAACATACTTACATGCACACGGGGCATACTGCCAACAATATCTGGGATTACCTCGTGCAGACATTAACATACTTACACGCACACAGTTTGTATTTTAATGGGGGTTTGTATTTGAAAATAATCATATATATATATATATATATATATATATATATATATATATATATATATATATATATATATATATATATAGGGATTCACTCAGGTGCGAATAAGTGTCCAGAAAGGAATATGCGAACGAATCAGCGTGCAACACGTGTACAGATCTAATAACTTAAAAAAACGCGATGGCATTTTCGTAAATAATTGAACTTCGAAGTGCAAGTAAAATCACTTAGAAGTGCACCTACTTTCACCTATAAGTGCATGTAATTTTGCCTTGTTAGCATTCACTTTCCGCAAACATTCATGCACCTGGGTGTGTTTATAACTATAGGTGCAACTATTTATAATTATCGGTGCAACTACTTATAACTATAGGTGCACCTACTTTCACCTATTAGTGCATGTAATTTTTCCTTGTTCACATTCATTGATCTGAGTTCAGCGGGTAGTAATAGTGTAATACCCCTGAAAATCACTTGCAAACATTCATACACATAGGTGCAACTACTTATAACTATGTGTGCAACTACTTAGAAATATAGGTGCAACTACTTAGAACTATAGGTGCAACTACATATTGATGCTAAGTGTAAGTTTTTACTTGCACCTATAATACATTTTACATGCACTTGTAATACATTTTACTTGCACTTCGATGTTTAATTATTTACGAAAATGCCACCGTATTTTTTTAAAAAAAATTAGTGTTTCTCATCCATTAGATCTGGACACGTGGATGGACAGAATCCATTCCTATTTCGCGCCTGGGCGGAGCATTCGCATATATATATATATATATATATATATATATATATATATATATATATATATATATATATATATATATATATATATATATATATATATATATATATATATATAGTTGAGTCCAAATGAGGACAAGTATATTATAGAAGACTATGATGACAGATGTAGTGCGTGCCATTAGCCTGTATGTCGTGTGCATGGCTGAATGTATTCGTGTGCCACAGTTTGTTTGTCTCGTGCATAGATTTGTTAATTAATAGAACCTGGGTTCAAAACCTGATGTTTACATGTATTCTTGTGTGCCATTATGTATTAAATTGTGTGTCTGCTATTAATTTATTGTGTGCCCATTATTTATCCGCACAGTCCTCTATATATTGTTGTCCTCATTTGAACTCAACCATATATATATATATATATATATATATATATATATATATATATATATATATATATATATATATATATATATATATAGGGAAGGGATCAGGTGCATTTGTTGCTTCCCGTGCGGTTGTGTGGTGGATTAATGTGCGTGATGTTAATATGCGTGAGTTTTGTACTTAATGTGCCTGAGTATTGTGCTTAATATGCGTGAGATTTTTGCTTAATGTGTGTGAGTAGTTCAGAATTACGAGCTCAGAAAGAAGCAGAACAGAAAACTCACGCACATTAACGCCCAAGCTTCTTGTTACTTCTTCCTTCAATTGGTCCATGGATTCTGGATTATCAACTACCTTCAGTACAGTTGAATGTTTATATATATGATGCACGCACAGCAAAATTTGCACACTAGCTAAGTGTGGATTTCTGTTGTATTATTCTCATAATTCTCAATCACCATAGCTCGCCTCTGCATCATCATCATCAGGGTGGGGGCAATGGCTACTGGGGATGCGGAAGAAGCTGATATCCATATTTTCGACTGTATTTTACACATTCACGCACATTAAGTACAAATCTCAGGCACATTAGACACAACACTCACGCACATTGAGTACAAATCTCACGCACATTAATAACCGCACAACCGCACGGGAACCTTTCACTATATATATATATATATATATATATATATATATATATATATATATATATATATAATTAGGTTTTGGTGCAGTTAGGGTGCCCAGGTGCGGTTGTGCGATTTAATCTGGGCCGTTCATCTCGCTTAAATCAACGATCAGGATTATCAAAATTTAAAAAAAAAATTGCGGTGGCAATTTTGTAATTTTTTCATTTAGGTCAAAATTATGGTGAGCGGTTCTGTGATTAATATGCATGAGTTTTGTATAAAAGATGTGTGAGTCTTGTGCGTAAGGTGCACGAGTTTTGTGCTTAATATGTGTGGAGTTGTGGTTAATGTGAGTAGTTGTTACAACTTAAAGTGTGGATTTTTGAGCTTAAGGTGCGTGAGATTTGTTCTTAATGTGAGTGGAGTTTGTGCTTAATGTGCGTAAAGTTTGTGCTTAATGTGTGTGTGAGGTTAGTGATTAATGTCAGTAGTTGTTGAAACTTAAGGTCTGTGAGTTAATACTTAAAGTGCGTGGGTTTTGTGCTTAATGTGCGTGAGGTTGTGCTTAATGTGCGTGGGTTTTGTACTTAATGTGCGTGAGTTTGTACTTAATGTCAGTAGTTGTTGAAACTTAAGGTCTGTGAGTTAATACTTAAAGTGCGTTGGTTTGTGAGTAATGTGTGTGAGTTTTGTACTTAATGTGCGTGAGTTTGTGCTTAAGATCTAACACTAAAGGTGCGTGTTTCTATCACTTAAGGTGCACCATTCTTAACTTATGCTTCTTTCTTTCCAGACACGCGTTTTTTTTAAATTGATTTGAACCGTTGATCTCGATTTGATCAATGGCTCAGATCTAACCGCAGAACCGCACGAGAAGCTATACTCACACATGATTTTATCATACCACATCTGTAACTAGATAGTGAGTGTGTCAATGTGGATAAATTGACCCATCTTTAACATTCACTATTCCACACGGTTATAAAGAATAATATATACAATGTTTGTGGTTTAGATTCATGGATAGGGCATGTGAAAAAGCAACAATTAGAAATGTCCAAATATTTGTCCTCTCAATTATTGACCATTGACTTGGATTAAATTATCATTCTTTACTTAAAATTAAAAGAAATATAGAGTGAATTCCAATTTTAAATTGAAATTATAGTGAAAATTATATATTCAGTTTAGACTCTAAAAATAACCAACATAACCGGGAAGGATGATTGGGCATGTTTTCTTTTCAATCATGACTAAAGAATTAGGTATGTTTAATTATAGGTTTGATCTTTGATGGTGGGGGTTTAGAATTTCTGGATATGTAATTTTTGCTGTAAATTAATGAAATTTAAGAGAAATTGAGGGAATTTGATAAGAAATTTAAGAAAGGTTCTTTACATTTCATAGTCGTCCCTATATTCATCATCATCCTATCTACCACTAATGCACTTAAAAAACAAAAGAGCCCATAGGGTTGAGGATTCAACATTTTGAGAGAAGAAAAAATAAAAGAGAAAAACAAAAGAAAAAAAAAAAAAAGAAAAAGGCCGCGATCCCATATACAAATATGAAACTAAAAGCAGATTTAATTTCCACTATATCAAAAGTATAGTCAATAGCTAATTTGCAACTTTATTTCTTTATACTTGCTCAACGCTACGTTCCGACGACATGATGCTGGACTCACTTTTCAAGGAGTCGCCCAATAGTTAGAATTCTAATTTGAAGATCTTATTATTATTATTATTATTATTATTATTATTATTATTTTAATTTGGAGATAGTAGTCTAACTCAAATTAGAATTTTATTATAAAAGTCTTCTTACAATATGATATTAAAGAGATTGAGATTCCGTATTGTGTATATTTAATATTTTCTTATTTTATTACTACCAACTTTGGCTAAATTACGGTCCATTTTTATATGAAATTTATTAAAAATAAGCATTAATTTACTTCTCCATTATGGTAAAATTTTCACATTAAATTTTACCACTTTTACCATTTTAAAAAAAAAAAGATTCAATCCAAGTCAGTGGCTAAAATAATAATATGGTTCAATGTTATCTATATATTATTTAACGTTTTACTCTCTTAAATATAATATATTGGTTGAGGATTTTTATTTGTCAAAATTTTAATTTACCAGTCTTCTTGTGATAAGAAAAATTATAGAAAGAAAAGAATTGAAAGTGATATCCTTGTCCAGTACGTGGTTTTTCCATTCACGACGATGTCCAATTAAGTATTTTCTAACCCATTAATTACTCAACTTACACGCACACAGCGCGTATAGTAGGAGGAAAAATCACAACCATCTATCAACGCTTGTGCACACATTAATATACTTACATGCACACAGCGCGTAGGAGAAAAAAATCACAACAATCCATCAAAGCTCGTGAACACATTAATATACTTACATGCACACGGGACATACTGCCAACAATATCTGGGATTAGCTCGTGCAGACGTTAACATACTTACATGCACACAGTTTGTATTTTAAGGGTGGTTTGTATTTGAAAATAATCATATATATATATATATATATATATATATATATATATATATATATATATATATATATATATATATATATATATATGTTCAAATGAGGACACGTATATTATAGAGGATTGTGATAACAGATGTAGTGTGTGCCATTAGCTTGTATTCGTATGCCACAGTTTGTATGTCTCGTGCATAGATTTGTTAATTAATAGAGCTTGGGTTCAAAACTTCATGTTTACATGTATTTTTGTGTGTCATTATGTATTAAATTGTGTACCTGCTATTAATTTATTGTGTGCCCATTATTTGTCCGCACAGTCCTCTATATATTGTTGTCCTTATTTGAACTCAACTATATAATATATATATATATATATATATATATATATATATATATATATATATATATATATATATATATATATATATATATATTATAGAATTAGGTTTTGGTGCGGTTAGGGTGCCCAGGTGCGGTTGTGTAGTTTAATCTAGGCCATTCATCTCCCTTAAATCAACGTCTAGGATTGCAAAATTTTTTTTTAAAAAAAATGCCGTGGCAATTTTTTAATTTTTGCATCTAGGTCAAAATTAAGGTGAGCGGTTCTGTGATTAATATGCGTGAGTTTTGTATATAAGATGTGTGAGTCTTGTGCGTAAGGTGCGTGAGTTCTGTGCTTAATATGCGTGGAGTTGTGCTTAATGTGAGTAGTTGTTAAAACATAAAGTGTGGGCTTTTGTGCTTAAGGTGCGTGAGATTTGTTCTTAATGTGAGTAGAGTTTGTGCTTAATGTGTATAAGGTTTGTGCTTAATATGTGTGAGGTTAGTGATTAATGTCAGTAGTTGTTGAAACTTAAGGTCTGTGAGTTAATACTTAAAGTGCGTGGATTTTGTGCTTAATGTGCGTGAGGTTGTGCTTAGTGTGCGTGGGTTTTGTACTTAATGTGCATGAGTTTGTGCTTAATTTCCGTAGTTGTTGAAACTTAAGGTCTGTGAGTTAATACTTAAAATGCGTGGATTTTGTGCTTAATGTGCGTGAGGTTGTGCTTAATGTGCGTGGGTTTTGTACTTAATTTGCGTGAGTTTGTGCTTAAGATCTAACACTAAGGGGGTGTTTGGTTGGAAGTAAGGAATTAGGGGGGAAAAGTAATTGTAATTCGGTGGGGAAAGAATAAGGTGAAAATAAAGTAGTAATTCAAATTACAGTGTTTGGTATGCAGGTAGGAATAAAGTAGAAATTCAAATTACAGTGTTTGGTATGCAGTAATAAGGCATGGAATTGAAAGGGAATAAGTGATACAATGACTGAAATGCCATAATAATAATAATAATAATAATAATAATAATAATAATAATAATAATAATAATAATAATAGTAGTAGTAATAATAATAGTAATAATAATAATAACAATAACAATAACAATAACAAATAATAATAATAATAATAATAATAATAATAACAATAATAATAATAATAACAATAATAATAATAATAATAATAATAATAATAATAATAGTAACAGCAATAATAATAATAATAGTAATCTAACTCTATAATAAAGCAAGAAGTTTTGCCAATCATTGTTTCCCGCCCAGTGAAAACGACGCAGTTTTGGTGGAGTCCTGATTCGCGATTTAATTGTTTCTTTATTTTCAGCGTGTAATGTGATTCCCCATTGGGAATATGCCTAGCCGTTCTTATTATTATACAATCCTTGGTTCCCGAGGAGTTCAATTAATGTAGAACTCTTTGGCATTGTAAACAAGATGATTACTATTAATATCAACAAAGCATAATGAACTTATACGGCCTACAAGAAAGAATTACATAGATTACATAGAATATGCAGAGTTGCAATATTCAAATTTACATTAATTGAGATGTGCGATTTCCAAAACATTGGCTCCTGGTCTCTTTGTTCTTTTGAATTTTCAATATGTATAAATACCGGGCTTCTTCATGCAAAAACACTTCAGAAATTCAGATCACTTTACTACCTTTTCGAAAGCATTTTTTTGTGTTTCAACATGCCTTCCATGTTCACTGCTGTCAAAAACATTAAGCCGGAACACCAGCTCCAGGCAATATGAGTGAGAGCAGTACGTGTATATGAAGTTCCTGAAAAAAGGGGAGAGGGGCAGGCCAGTAAGAGCATGGAAGTATTATTCCATGATGAAGAGGTACTTTTATCTATTTGCTAATCTGATTTTATCTACTAATGTAATGGTCTTTCAATTAAGCTACTTTCATGCCATGTTATCTAATAATCTTAGTGTGTTTTGCTGTCTATAATTTTTTGTTATTGCTCTCGCAGGGAGACTACATTCATGCAAGTATCATCAAAAAAGACATTGGAAAGTATAGAGATACAATCAAGGAAGGGAAAGTTTTTGAAATCAAGAACTTCATGGCCTCTACAAACTACTATGTCTACAAGATTACAGAGCATGGTTTCATGCTCAAATTTAACTACAGAACACAAGTGAAGGAAATACATTCTAATGGCTTTCCTTGCAAAATGTTTAGACTAAAGAGTTTTTTTGGCTTTGAAAGATCCTGATGATGTGAATGGCAAGGAGCTGATTGGTACTAACTTTACCTTTCCTAACTGCTAATATCTTCTTTATTCTACTTTTAGTAGTTCTTGCTAATATTTTGTTCATTTTGCAGATGTTATTGGAAGGGCAATTGAGATTTACAATCCTGTGGACAAGATTATAGGGGGGAAGGACACCAAACTAATCAACTTTCAAATTGAAGACAATGCGTAAGTATTTGTAAATGAACTTTGATTACATTAGAAAATGATGCACTTTTTTTTTTCATACTTTTCTGTTTTTTTCTGTTTCTAATCCAGTGAGAACACCATGACGTGTACACTCTGGAATGAACATGTTTCTTTCCTGATGCCTTTTTACAATAGTGATTCGAAAGAACCACTGATTGTTGTCATTCAATGCTGTAGGGCGAAGGTTGTGGGTGGTGAGTTTCTCTACTGTTTTCTCTTCTAATCTATTGATCAATCCACCTTTTTGCTTTTTATTATGGATTGTTTAACACATGATCCTCTATTTTCTAAAAACATAGTATCTAAAAATACATGCATCTATTTTATACATTTTTTAGGTGAAGTGAGAATAACCAGTTCGTATGATGCTACGAAGTTGTGGTTTAATGAGGATTGGGAAGAATTTAAAGAGTTTAAGTTAAAGTAAATTATTCTTTTATATTTCTCCTATTTTTTTTTTATCTTTATTAATGTATGCTCTACTTTGTACTTATGATTTTAGACAAGCTGTATATTTTTTTTTAACATCTGTGTACTGGATAAAAAAAAAATACACTGTACTGTGTATATATATTGAAGTACCATGCTGTACAGTGTATGCATTTCTTAAACTTTACTAAACTACCAATCAAAAAATAAGATAGCTATTTTAAATGTTGTCTACTGTATTGTTGTTAGGTTATTTAAACACATGTAACCAACTTTCTAATGTTTTTGAAGCTTGAAAGCTGAAGGTACTCCAATGAGGAGTCTTAGTACTGGCACACTACATTCCAACTCTACAGGCATTAGTGAGTTTACTAATGGTTCTGTTATTGTCACTAACTGCCATGATATTAAGAAGGTGAAAGAGGTAATCCACACACTAAGCTAGCAATTCTTTCTTTTATTTGATGTAACTGATTTTGTTAAGTGCTATATATACTTATAAAATTATTTGTATACTATAGGATGGGGACTACTATGTTGCTGCTGAGATTCTTGGGTTAGATTTTGAGGATGGTTGGTACTACTTATCATGCCTGAAACTTGGATGTAATAAGAAACTAAAAGAACAGGAAGGAACCCTTTTTTGTACTAAGTGTAAAAAGACTTGTATGACGGGTACAGTTAGATACAAAGTAGTTGTTATTGCTCTTGACAAATCTGGAGATGCTCCAATGTTGCTTTGGGATAGAGAAGTGGCAGAGCTTGTGGGTATTCCTGCCTCTATTTTGTATGCAAAATACAAGGATGTAAATTCTTCTAATTGGCTCTCACCATTTTTTCCCTATACTGTATTTTCTATGTTTTTAATTATGTTATTTATCATCTACTTAAACAGCTTGATGTTGAAGTGCCACCTGAGTTGGATGCTATAGTTGGAATGAAGATGCTGTTTAAGATCAACTTCAAACTGGCTCAAAAGATGGGTCCCAATTACCCATTCAATGTTGTTAGGGTTGTAAGGGATGAGCACTTGCTTCAAACCTATGCTGACAGGTTTGTGGAGCATCAAGAGCAAGACTTAATCTCTAGGATGATTGAGGAGGAAACTAACACCGATGCAATTTCTGGAGTAAGAATTTGAAACCCTAAACTCTATGATTTTTTTAATAATGGTTACTAATAGGGTTTTCTGCTTTTCTTAATAACAGAAAGACTCGATTGGAGTTGAAGTGAATAGTCATGCCACTGTCCAGCCCTCGCAAAAGGAAGGAGAAGACAATGCTGAACACTCTGGGGCTATTAAAAGGTCACTTTTGGATGAATTTTCATCATTCAAAAGTAGGAAGAAGTTGAATGACTCAGAAATCAAAAAGGAAAAATTGTAATTGAGATTGATGGTTGAAAGTGATTGTTGTTAGTCTGATGCTATCCAGACATATTTACTTTACTTTTCCTAATACTGTTGTGTGACATTTATTATATTTTAGTTTTTGGGATGTATTATAACTTTTATCTAATTTTTTTTAGTGATTGCCTAACTGTTTAGTACAATACATTGGTGTATCTACTGCTATTAGAACCTGTTTTGCAGTTTTTCTAATCTTCCTTTCAGGTTATTCAGATTAAGGATGAAAGGTGTCCAAGTTTAGCAAGGATGCCAGGTGGCCAAGGTTTTAAAAGACAGACAGGATGGAAATAGTTTGGCAAGAAACTTAGACTTTGTAGTTGTGTTTTTTTATAGGTTCAATTACATGTTAGACTACTACTATAACATAGTATATATGTAAGTTACTAAGAATATTTAATGATGACACTTATTTGTAAGTGATATTCCAAACTTATTTGCAAATAATATTCCAATTCTAAGACTTTATATATCTAAATACATTGTGCCTAAAAATAGAGTTAGTTCCAATTACCTATTTGCAAAATCTTCTTTTACTCTGTTTGCAACTCTCCAAAGCACCTGATGTCCAAGCTGGTATCCATCAAAGTTTTCTAGCACATTTAAAAAGAAATTAGATAACAGCAACTAAATTCAATATTTGTAAAGTAATTTACATTACTGTGTTAACTAAAAAACCAACAATCTGCTTTAATCAGAAAAATGATTTGATCCTACACAAATCTGACTTCTATACTCATATAGAATAAAACAATGCACCAAATTCCAGATATCAAAGACAATAGAAATACAAATAGATTAACTGGGTCGATACTCGAGGACCATTTGTTGAACAAAGACATTTTATTCAATGTGTCTATTATTAATAAAACAAAGTTGTTTCTTCCAATAAAAAACATTTAAAGAATATTATGATATATAGAAGAACATTATACCAGTTTTAACCAAAGAGAAAAAAAAAAGTAATTTAAATTACTGTGTTAACTAAAAAAATGAGAATCTCCTTTAATTAGAAAAATAATTTGATCATACACAAATCGGACTTCTATACTGATATAGAATAAAACAATGCACCAAAGTCCAGATATCAAAGACACTAGAAATAAAAATATATGAAGTGGGTCGATATTCGAGGATCATTTGTTGAACAAAGACATTTTACTCAATGTGTCTATTATTAATAAAACAAAGTTGTTGCTTCCAATAAAAAACATTTAAAGAATATTATGATATATACAAGAACATGTTACCAGTTTTAACCAAAGAGAAAAAAAAAAGTAATTAACATTACTGTGTTAACATTACTGAGTTCTATACTTATATAGAACCAAACAATGCACCAAAGTCAAACAAAGTAATGTTAATTACTTTTTGCATTACTGTTATACTGATCCAGATATCAAAGAAGTAGAGGACCATTTGTTGAAAAAAGTCTTTGTTTATTCAATGTGTCTATTGCCTTACAAAGTAAAGTGAACAAACTTACAAACTATGCAAGTAAATGCATACAAACTAATCTAAAGATAGGCAAGTAAAGATAAAGTCTTAACCTATTTGCTTATATGACCATATTGCTTTTAGTTGTCTTTTATTGATGGGTTATTTTCTGCTTGCTGCTCTTCAATTACTCCAGAGCTTGGATTATTTCATTCTAAGAAGAATAACAAAAAAAAAAAAAAAAAAAATTGGTTAGAATTTGTGTTCAGAATATTTGACAGGATAATAGGGCTGACACCCGACCCGGATCACAAATGAGCATCTGACTCAGCATCACATGGGAACCCAACGGGCAGAACTCCAACGGTTAGAATTCCAACATGTGTCACCTTTATTGTCATTGAAGCCACCTTTGATGCCACCATTGATGAGAGAGAGTTAAAGCCTCAACGCCTCATTCATGACTCTTCATATTCTTGCCGTTAGCTCAGCTCCCCAAGGATGTCTCTTCATGTTGTTACCGTTAGGACCTAGCATAAATAGAACTTCCCTCAGCTGAGCGGGGGACACACTGTACTTTCTATACTGAGACAAAAGGCAATACCACTATTGTTACTTTCTTATTCGTTACTTTATATTATATTTCCGTTAACATATTTACCGTCAATATTTAATAAGAGGAAAATGATACACTAGCATAACAGAGAATTGAAGATTAGTAGAATCAAATAATAAATGTATGTGTTCAATGTTCTTACAACTTATCTAAACAAATTGACAACAATGAAAGTAAAAACAGATGAACTTGGTCTATACTTGAGGACCATTTGTTGAAAAAAGTCTTTTTAAATCAAACTGTATATTGCCTTACAAAGTAAAGTGAACAAACTTACAAACTATGCAAGTATAACAATACAAAGTCATCTAAAGTAAGGCAAATCAAGATAGAGTCTTAACCTATTTGCTGATATGACCATATTGCTTATTTTCTGCTTGCTGCTCTTCAATTACTCCACAGCTTGGATAATTTTGTTCTAAAGCGAATAAAAAAAACAAATAAAAAGGTTAGAATTTGTGTTCAGAATAAATAATAACAACACCAGTATAGAAGAAATTTGTTAGCACATTTAGAAAGAAAGTAGATAACAGCACCTAAATTCAAGATTTTAAAAGTAATTAACATTACTGTGTTCACTAAAAAACTGAGAATCTACTTTAATTAGAAAAATAATTTGATAGACTGGCATAACAGACAATTGAATTGTTTTAGAACCAAAGAATCAATGTGTGTGTTACATGTTCTTACAAATTATCTAAAGAAATTGAAGACGATGGAATTATTGGCCTGTTAAGTAAAAGTTAATCATTCTTAGGGAAAGAAACACATTCTCTAAACATTAAATATAATTGATGGATAGCTATCATTACTATTAACAGAAAACTCTTCAGTTCCAATCCTATTTTCAAAATCAAGGCAAAATTTAAGTAAACTACAATGAACCCATCTAAAGAAAGATGCCCCATCTAACTACCAACACAGTTCTCCAGTTTCAGACCCCAGCCAAATAGACAATTCACATCTACATTTTCAAGTACACACAATAGACAGTACAATGTGGAAAATCACTAAGTCAACAATTATAGGCATCAAAAGGAAACCAAGTGAGGAAAATAAAGGTAAGTTCGAAAATTATCTTTTTCATACTTGAAATGAAGCTGCATTGTAGCATCCCTCTTGCTGTGCGATTTTGTTTGTGCTCTACATCTCCTCAAATAATTCCAGTATGTCCATAAAAAACAACATGATAAAGTCGATTACAGGTTAGGATTTGTGTGAATAAGAATATAGCTATAGCATTTTGAACATGATATTTACACAGTTTACAGTAATTTAAATTGGGTATTTTTATAGCAACACTACAAAGAATACTACTTAGAACCCTAATTGCTATGAATCATACAAATCTGAAATTAAGAGATTTTATCTATGATTGTCGATATGCATGCTTAGATCCAGAAAATTAGATCAAGTTTAGAACAAACAACAGTGATAAATAGGAAACCCTAAACAAATTGACTGCAAATTTAACGCACACTAACCTTTGTAGTTGAAAATTAGCTTCACTGCAGCGCGATTTCCACCATTTACTGTTGTTGAACACTACGATCTTTCACGAAAATGAAAGATCGCGATTATGTACTGAGAATCGGGGAGATGCTCATCTAGACCAGACTACAATTTCTCCGGAAACAATGTTCAGTAAGAACAGTTGACTGAGAGATTACGACTAAGGACTGATCTAGATTTAGTAGAGACAGAGAGAGATCGGAAGAGCCTTTTGAGAGGGTGAAGAACAGATCGGTTCAGACATGCGAAGGAGAAGGGTATTCACCCTTCTTCCTCTTCTCAGAAGATTCCGACCGAACAAACATATAATATTATATTATATATATATATATATATATATATATATATATATATATATATATATATATATATATATATTGTTATATAAATAGATAAATAGATTTAAATTAGTTTATAGATATAAATTAATAAATAAATATCTAGATATATATATATATATATATATATATATATATATATATATATATATATATATGTATATACATATAGTCTTCATATTATTTAATGGTGTGATTGTTATGTGTAATTAATTAGATATATTATTTTTCATTGTAATGATATTTATTGTGCACACAATTTTGTGGACCATGTTATACCTAATAATTTGTCCAGTAAACTGTAATCTTTGTTTATAGCAATTACAATTTCATCAGGTTATAGGCTACCATAAGTGCATTATCCGTTAGGTGTGTTTAGTGTCACAACAACTAATTTCTTCATAAATGTTAGGCAAATCTTGAACAATTATAAATTATTGTTGTACTCTGAACTATGTTATGTGTAATTCATTTTTACGAATTTTTATTATTTGAATTATTTTTGATTTTAATGTTATATTTTATATCACAGAAAATGAATTGGGCAACTCATCAACAAGGAATAATTCTGCTCAAGGAAAACAACAGCCTTCGGCAATAAATCCTTCCCGCATTCCTTTTGAAGGGTGTTTGTCTCAAAACATCACACCATTAAGTAACATTACTAACGGTAAATCCCCTTAGTTGAATTCATATACATTCATTGTGAATTTTAAAAAACTTATCTTTTTAATTATGAAAAAAATGACTGTAAAATTAAATTGTATAATTATAATGTAAGTAATGGACCATACCACTTTGCATGGAATACTTTAGTATCACAATAATACTTTGATTGGTATTAATGATATATACTTTCTAATTAATGGTATTTATTGTGCACAAAATTTTGTGGACCATGGTCTACCTAATAATTGGTCCACTTATTAGGTAACCCTTATTGATAGCAATTACAATTTCAACTTATAGGCTAACATAATTAATAGCGTTAGGTGTGATTAATTTATAAAATTTAAACTGCTGTAATTACTGTTGTTATTATAGTCTTCTAATTTTTTATTTTACATCACAACAAATTATTTAGGCAACTCATCATTAAGGACTAATGCTGGTCAAGGTAAAGAGCAACATACGCCAAATAATCCTTCCCAAATTTCGGTGGGAGGTGGCCTGTCTCAAGATATCACACCATTCAGTAACATCAGTAACGGTAAATCCCCGAGAATGAATTGATATACATTCATTGTGAATTTAAATATCCTTATAGTTTTAATTGTTAAACAATGTTTGTCAAATTAAATGTTATCTTTTTAATGTAATTTATGTTTCATAATATCAATT